TGATGATAAAAAACCCTCAGCAGACTGGGCACAGAAGGAAATTTCTTCAGACTGATAAAGGGCATCTCTAAAAAATATAGCTAACAACGTAGTTAATGGTGAAAGACTTTTCCCCTAAGATCAGGAAAAAGACCAGGATGTTTGTTCTCACCACTGCTTTTCAATATTGTACTGGAGGTTATAGCCAGTGAAATTTAGGCAAGAGAAGGAAATGAAAGGTATCCCATTTGGAAGGGAGAAATAAAACTCCTTTTTGTAGTTGACTTGATCTTGTATAGAAAATACTAAGGAATCCATAGAAAACTGTTGAGCTGATAAATGAGTTCAAGATTTCAGGATACAAGATCAATATACAAAAATCATGTTTTCCTATACTGGCAATAAATAATCTGAAATTGAAATTAAGAAAATAATTTCAAGCAGACATGATGGCATGTGCCTATAATCCCAGCACTTTGGGAGGCCAAGGTGGGAAGATTGGTTAAGGCCAGGAGTTTAGGACCAGGCTCCTGAGCAAGACCCTGTCTCTGCAGGAAAGTTAAAATTAGCCAGGTGTGGTGGTACGCTCATATAATCCCACCTACTATTCAGAAGGCTGAGGTGGGAGAATTGCTTGAGTCTAGGAGTTTGAGGTTACAGTGGGCTATGATTGTCCACTGTACTTTAGCCTAGGAGAGAGAGCAAGACTTGTCTCCAAAAAAAGAAAAACCCCATAACAGTTTTCATTTTCGGTAGCATCAAAAGGAGTAAAATACTTAGGAATAAATTTAACAAAAGTATATGACTTTTATACTGAAAACTATAAAACATCATTGAAAGAAATTTAAAAAGAAATAAATGGAAAGACATCCTGTATTCATGGATTAGAACACCTAATATTGTTAAAGTGGCAGTACTACACAAAGCAATCTATAAATTCAGTTCACTTCTTATCAAAATCCCAGCTGGCTATTTTGCAGAAAATGACAAGCCAGTTATGATACTCACATGGAAATGAACAGGACCTAGAATAGAATAGTAAAACAGTTTTGAAAAAGAAGAAAGTTTGGAGGCCAGGAATAGTCTTTTCAACAAATGGCACTGGGACAACTGGAGATGCACATACAAAAGAATGAGTTTAGACCCCTGCCTCACATGATACGCAAAAATGAACTGAAAATGGGTCAGGGACCTAATACAAGTTAAAATTATAAAACTCTGAGCAGGCTCGGCACTTGTGGCTCCAGTGGCTAAGGCGCCAGCCACATACACCTGAGCTGGCGGGTTCGAATCCAGCCCGGGCCCGCCAAATGACAACAACAGCTGCAACCAAAAAGAAAAAAAAATAGCTGAGCATTGTGGCAGGCACCTGTGGTCCCAGCTACTTGGGAGGCAGAGGCAGGAGACTCTCTTGAGCCCAGGAGTTGGAGGTTGCTGTGAGTTGTGATGTCATGGCACTCTACCCAGGGGGACAGCTTGAGGTTCTGTCTCAAAAAAAAAAAAAAAAAAAAAACTCTTAGCAAATATAGGTGTAAGTCCTTTGATCTTGAAATAAGCAATCAAAAGAAAAATAGATAAATTAGACTTCATCAAAATTAAAAACTTTTTTTTTCTTTTTAGAGGCAGTCTCATTTTGTTGCCTTTGGTAGAGTGCGGTGGCATCACGGCTCACAGCAACCTCAAGCTGTTGGGCTTAGGCGATTCTCTTGCCTTTTTTTTTGAGACAGAGTTTCAAGCTATTGCCCTGGGTAGAGTGCGATAGCATTACAGCTCACAGCAACCTCATACTTTTGGGCTCAAGTGATTCTCTTGCCTCAGCCTCCCAAGTGGCTGGGACTATGGGTGCCCACCACAGTGCTCAGCTATTTTTCGGTTGCAGTTGTCATTGTCACTTAGCAGGCCTGGGCTGGGTTTGAATCTGCCACCCTAGGTGTATGTGGCTGGCGTCCTGCTGCCTGAGCTATGGGCGCTGCCAAAATTAAAACTTTTTGCATCAATGGAAGTGGTGGCTTATGCCTGTAACGCTAGCATTCAGGGAGGTTGAGGTGGTTGGATTGTCTGAACTCACAGTTTCGAGACCAGCCTGAGCCAGAATGAGACTTTATCTCTAAAAAGCTGGGCGAGGCCAGGCGCAGTGGCTCACGCCTATAATCCTAGCACTCTGGGAGGTGGAGGTAGGTGGATCGTTTGAGCTCACGGGTTCAAGACCAGCCTGAGCAAAAAGCTAGATCTATCTCTACTAAAAATAGAAAAACTGAGGCAAGAGGATAAATTAAGCCCAAGAGTTGGAAGTTGCTGTGAGCTATGACGCTATGGCACTCTATCCAGGGCAACAGCTTGAGACTCTGTCTCAAAAAAGTAAAATAAAAATAGCCGGGCTTGTGGTAGGTATCTTCAGTCCCAGCTACTTGGGAGGCTGAGGCAAGAGAATCGCTTGAGCCCAAGAGTTTGAGGTTGCTGTGAGCTATGATGTCACAGCGCTCTACCAAGGGCGACAAAGTGAAACTCTGTCTTCCAAAAAAACCTTTTTGCATCAAAAGATACTATCAAGAAAATAAAGGTAGGGTGCTGTGGCTTGTGCCTATAATCCTAGCAGTTTGTGAGGCTGAGGCAGAAAGATCATGTTAGGCCAGGAGTTCGGAACCACCCTAATCAACATAATGAAATCCCCACCTATATAAAAACAATTTTTAAAAAGTAGTTGGGTATGGTGGTGCATGCCTCAAGTCCCAGGTACGTGGGAGGCTGAGACAAGAGGATTGCTTCAGCTTAGGAGTTCAAAGTTGCAGTGAGGTACGATTGTGCCACTGCACTTCAACCTGTAGCCAGGACAACAGAGTGAGACCCTGTCTGGGAAAAAAAAAAAAAAGAAAAAGAAGAAGAAAGAAAGTGAATAGATAGCCACAGAATGAAAGAAAACTTTAAAGAAAACTTTAAATATCAAATCTGGGGAGTATATAGAATTTATGTAAAGAATTATGAAAATTCAATGATAAAAAGGCAAGTAACCCAGTTTCAAAATAGGCAAAGGATTTCAACAGATATTTCTCTTAAGAAAGTTACACAAATGACCAATAAGCACATGAAAAGCAGTTCAGCATCATTAGTTATTAGGGAAATACCAGGTAAGAACACAGTAAGATAGATTTCACACTCAACTAGGGTGGCCATAATAAAAAAAGATGGACTATAAGTGTTAGCAAGGATGTGCAGCAATTGGAACTCTCATACATTGGTGTGAATAGAAAATAGTGCATTTGTTTGGAAATAGTTTAGCAGTTCCTCAGAAAGTTAGCACAGAGTTACCATGACCTAGCAAATCCACTTCTAGGAATCTCCCAAAGAGAATTAAAAAGATTTTGTCTGCACAAAATCTTAAACACAAATGTTCATAGCAGTAGTATTGATAATAACCAAAATGTAGAAACAGTCTGTATGTTTATTATCTGATAAATAGATAAGCAAAATATGATACATCTATATAATGGAATATTACTCAGCTATTAAAAATAATAAAGTACAGCATGGATGAACCTTGAAAATATGTGAGGTGAAAGAAACCAGACATAAATGGGTACATAGTATGTGACTCCATTCAATTAAAATGTCCAAAATGGGCAAATCCATAGAAAGTAGATTAGTGGTTACTTGGCAGTGGCGTAGAGGAGGAGGCAGTAATAGAAAGTGACTAATGATGGGTATAAGGTTTCCTTTGCAAGGGGTTGAAAATGTTTTGGAATTAGTGGTCATAGTTACATACCCTTGTGAGAATGTTAACAAGTGATGAATTATAAGCTGTAAAGGACCAAATCTTGGCTGGGTGCAGTGGCTTACGCCTGTGATCCTAACACCCTGGGAGGCTGAGGGTGGTAGGTTGCTTGAGCTCAGGAGCTAGAGCTCAGCCTGAGCAAGATTGAGACTCTGTCTCTATGAAAAATTGGAAAACTAGCCAGGCATTGTGGTGGGCACTGATAGTTCCAGCTATTCCAGAGGCTGAGGCAGGAGGATTGTTTGAGCCTAGGAATTTGATGTTGCTGTGAGCTATGATGCCATAGCACTCTATCGAGGACAACAGAATGAGATTCTGTATCAAAAACAAACAAACAACCCATGCCAGATGTTATGATTATCAATTTGAAAATGAAGGGGAAAAATACATACTCTGCTGTGTAATAAGACAGCCTAATAAAACATCAGCAAAAGATATCAAATTGACATTTCACAATCATAAGTCTTAACAAGTATTTAACATTTGAGGTCTAATTATGTGCCAGGTATTGAGCATTTTACATACAAGTTTGTTTATGATCTATAACAACCTCAATGGTAGGTACTATTATTATCCCCATTCTATGGATTTAGAAATAGGACTGGTGGGGCAGCACCTGTGGCTCAAAGGAGTAGAACGCTGCCCCATATGCTAGAGGTGGTAGGTTCCAACCCACCCTTGGCAAAAAAAAAAAAAAACCTGCCAAAAAAAGAAATAGGACTGGTTATATGATTATTTATTTATTTGAGATAGAGTTGCATTATGTTGCCCTCGGTAGAGTGCCGTGGCATCACAGCTGCAGCAACCTCAATCTCTTGGGCTCAAGTGATTCTCTTGCCTCAGCCTTCCAAGTAGCTGGGACTGCAGGGGCCTGCTATAACACCTGGCTATTTTTTGTTGTTGTTGCAGTTGTCATTGTTTAGCTGGTCCGGGCCAGGCTCAAACCTGCCAGCCTTGGTGCATGTGGCTGGCACTGTAACCACTGTGCCACGGGCACTGAGCCACATTATGTGATTTGATATAGTTAATGAGTTTTGGACTGGGACTCAAACTCAGGAACTTAGGAACTTAATTTTTTTTTCTTTCTTTCTTTTTTTTTTTTTTTTGAGATAGTCTACTATGTGGGCACTTAGTGCTGTGGGCACTTTTTATTCATTATACTGTGTACTGCTTTAACATTATTGGGCAATTCTTTGTGTCAACAAGTTTCATAGGGTTGACTAACAGCACATGGCTGTTTTCTCCTTTCCAGATCCATGAATGAGATGAAACGGTTGGAGGAAATGTCAAATATGTTTCAGAGTTCTGGAATCAGGTGCCAACCTCCAGATCCAAAATCTCAAACAGAAGGGAATGAAGATTCGCAGGGCAAAGAGCAGCCGTGGGAAATGGTGATGGATAAGAAACACTTCAAGCTGTGGCGGCGTCCAATTACAGGCACCCAGCTTTACCAGTACAGAGGTAAGCCCTGTGAGGCTGCCTTTTAAGCGTTCCTCTTGTTTTTCAGAAATATGTCTTCTTTTTTTTTTTTT